TATAAAAAAAAAAAAAAACTTATTTTCCATTTTTTTTTTTTTTTTTTTGTAGAGGGGCAAGAGCTCCATTTTCTTATTGTTTTTCTGGATGTTATTCAAGGATTTATTTAACGATGATTGCGAGAGTAAGAATGAGAGCTTACATGTCCCATCCATTGATTTGGAGTGCAGGCCATCCGTGCCGTTGATTGCTCGGTCTTCTTATCTTTAGCTCTCCTCTTCTTGAACTCAAATTTTGGGTCAAAGCATGATGTGTATTTCGTTATGTATAAATGTGTAATGCGGGGTTTTGGGCACTTTTATGTTTTAATGTGAGATTAAAGTGGTTTAATGTGGGTTTTTGGGCACTTTTAAGTTTTAATGTGAGATTAAAGTTGGATAGCAGTTGCTGCTAGTTATTTGTTTGTTGGCATTTGCGAGTGCAGATGATGAGTCAAAGTGGCCCAGGAATGTTGTAGATGTTGGGTGTGGGATTGGGGGCAGTTCAAGATATTTGGCAAAAAAATTGGGGGCGAAATGTGAAGGCATCACTCTTAGCCCAATTCAGTCTAAGAGGGCTAATGACCTTGCCCTTGCTGAAGGCCTGGCAGACAAGGTATGGGACCAATCAAATTCACTTCAAACCCTTTTTGGGTTATAAACAATTTGATGTTTCAACCCATTTATAGGAAGATTTAAGTAAGGAAAAGGTTTTTATAAGGTCGCATCCTTAAAAATGTGGAATTAAAGATGCACCTCAAAAATTCAGCGAGAAAAGTTGATTTAATGTTGGAAAACACCCTAATTGATCATCGAGAAGTAAATATGAAAAACAAAAAGATTTTAAGTCTTAAAAATAGTGCATCTTGCGACACATTATCTAAACCTTCCATTTTCGAGATTTCTATATGTTTATAAATCTACTTATATTTTAATATTTTTAGAGTTTAAAATTTTGTAATTACATATAAAAGTAGATTCTTAGATAATCTTAAAAAAAATTTAGACCAAAATTACATGATACGATAATATTTGGAGGTGTGTTTTAACTGGATTGTTTAAGGTCGTGATTTTATAGAAACTATACCGTTTAAGTAAAAAACACATAAAAATAAATTAAAAAAATAATTACAGTTAAAAAGATTTAAAAAGTTTACAATGTGCAGTCGAATCTGAGATAAACAATGATAACATGATAACATTGAGATCCGTTTACACTGTATTCTTTTTGTACTTCCATCTCTCTTCCTACCAAAAAAAAAAAAACATTGAGATCCGTTTACACTGTACTCTTTTTGTACTTCCATCTCTCTTTCCAACCAAAAAAAAAAAAAACTCTTTCCACCATAAAAAAAGAAAAAAAAAAAAAAAGAGTTTGGGAGGAGAGATTGTCGTGGAAAAAGTTTCGAAAAAATTGCTAAACCCCTTAATATGTACTTTATACTCGCTTTCCTAGCAACTCTTCTTAAAAAGTGATGTTTTCTAACTACTACCCCTGTATAAAAAGTTGATTTTTTTTTTTATGAAAATACTCTCTCCTCACATAACTAATCATCTTAGAATCCCAATAAAAGAAAATGCGGACCGCATTTGTACTTTGTACACCGTCGGATTGCTCAACCCGATGTATTTTTAAACGTCGGATTGCTCAGTTCGGCGTACTTCAAAACACCGGACATCTTCTTAAAAGATGTCGGATCGTCATATCAAAATGCCGGACTGCCCTTTCAAAATGCTAGACCAGGACTGCCCTTTCAAAATGCTAGACCATAAACTGCCCATCTCAGACAAAAAAAAAAAAAAAAAAAA